CAAAATCCATATTTATGCATGCTGGGGGTAAAGGAAAAGAGCATGAGATAATCTGCATGTTTTAGGATTTTATAAATATTTCTAGAAGATGTCAAGCTAATCAACAGTACAGCATGGTAGACTTTGCTCTAAAATTTTGGCTGTGCTCAGCAGTGTGGCATAAACAGTCTGTAATATTGCTTTATCACAAGTAGTTCCAATATCATAAATATAATATGTGTGTCAGTTTTTATATTTATTATTCCCAAACCAGTACACTTTTGAAAAGGAATATACAAAACCTACAATTGATATTGATGAGGGAGGGGTTGGGGGTTGTTGTGAAAATGGAGGGAATATACAGTACCTGGTAATTTCAGATAAAAAAAACCATTTTTAATTATAGCACATTAATATGCAAATACACACTTAGTACCCTACTTCATCAAAGAGTGAGGAAATTTAGGAGTAGGGCATGGGTGATCTAATGTCGTTGACAATACTTGATACTTGATAGGCTATTACTTTCGTGTTTTTGACAAAGTTAATAGAAATCAGGATTATTTTTATTATTGTTTGAATTTTATATACCTACTTTAAGCAGAAGCGATCCAGCTTTATCTACATTTAACTATAAAAAAATTTATACACTCAAGTTTAACCAACCACCATTTACTGCCCCTGCTTATAGCCCACTAAATTGAATAAATAAAATATATTTATATAGTCTGATAAATTAAATATAATTATTTATCTTGTTACCCAATAAACTCTAAGAACCATGAAAAACATATTCCGCTCAAAAAATAGGCATCCTTCCAGCTGGATACCTCCCCCAACAATATCCTAAATTTTATTATGTCATGATTTAGTGAGGAATTGGTGACAATTAGTGACTAGATAAAAGGGATTCTAGCTTGAATTTAAGCTACCAGCCTCCCCTTGAAAACTCCATTAATGTCAGTGTCATGTGATCCCTATTTTAACCATTAAGTACTGACGTGCGGTCTGTGAGGCCCCGGCGGGCACTTGGCTTGCTAGTTTACCCCTTTCCTCGTGTAATACCGATCCCCGCTTTTAAGTAGATGCAAGGACAGTGCTCACGTTAACGTCGGAGAAGGAAGTGGTGACGTCGCACGCGCATTTGGTGCGTAATTACGATTTAAAATTCCGACGCAGCCTCCCAGGCCACACTTCGGTACTTACGTCACTGTTTTGTTTTATTTTTTTTTAAAGTAATATGTTATTTTTACAGATATTGTGAATTATGAACATACTAGAGACTTCAAGTTGTAAAAGCAATAGTTCTGCGATAGATTTACAGCAATCAAAGAGATCTGAACCCTGTAAGCTAAGGATGAGTTTGGCAAAAGTACTTGGTTCTGATAAGCCAGAGACATCTGAAGATGAAGCTGAGGAAGTCAAGAAACGAAAGACTTGTCCCTCATGTCAACCTAAACTGAATAGAAAATCGATATATAGATGCTATTGGTGCAAAAAATAATACATTTCTTTACAGTGCATGAAACAAGTGTTCCTTGCCTGAGCTTAGATTTTAAGGTGTAGTTGGACTGTGGTCATTTTTTTCCCAAAGGTTATGTTCCTACTTTATATTTTTTTTATAAAAGTTATATAAGTCATAAGTAAGAAATACTATTTTTTTGAAGATTAATTCTTTGTGTTTTGGTTTTTTATATTTTATAGTCGGATTTTTCCCCAAAATTGAAGCCAAATATTATTGTAGTCTTATATTTAAAAATTTAATAAAGTTGAATTCCTTTTTATACTTATTTTTACCTAAAACTCTTTACTTTTCATCATAATGCAAAGACGAATATTTAAATCATCACTTTCTTTAAAAAACACTATATAATATACGCGGCCTCTCAGACCGCACGTCGGTACTAATGTTACAAAAAATGCACGTCGGTACTTAAAGGTTAAGTCTATATTAATTTATTTAAAAAAAAAAGTCCCGCTGGGTTTCTTGCTGGTTCTTCCCAGGACAGAGGGTTTTTTTTCGAACCAGTGGTAAAGTAAAAAATTACTTTCAATAAGAATTACACATGTAATGTATATTCAATAAAAAATCATTCTATCCTATTCTAAGATTTAGTGACTAATAGGTGACTTTCATATACCAAGATTGAGAGATATGGTACGACTTTCCATTGACGTCTGTCGAATTTGGTGTTGATACGTATTTTTACAGAAAGATTACATTTTTATAAGCACACACACAAAGTTTCAATATGCGGAAACACGTACTTTTTGAGAAAAAAATTTTGAAAATCAAATATTTTTGCAATATTTATGTCAATTCCTACCGTGAAACTGACGCCATTTTTTATTATTATTGTCAGTAGGGATGTCGATTCTTTCCGAAAAAGATCGATTTTTTAAATAGATTCGAATTGTAAGCTGATGTATCGATTCCTAAAAAAATTGATTTCTAATATATCTATATTTTTTCATGTTTGCATTTATAATGTAAATATAAATTTTTAATTTAAAAATCGACCTTTTTCGGAAAGAATCGACATCCCTATTGACGTCGACAATGACATTACAAAATGGTGCCAGTTTTACGGTAGGATTAGAGCAAGAAAACATTGCAAGAATAATTGATTTTCAATAATTTTTTTCTAAAAAATCACGTGTTTACGCATGTTGAAACTTTGTGTGTGTGCTTATAATAGTGTAACTTCTCTGTAAAAATATGTATCAACACCCAACTCGACGGACGTCAATGGAAAGCTAAGCTCAATGGAAAGATATTGGTCCAAGAGAACTGGACATATTCATATGACCTACTTGTTCCAGGTCTGTATGTTTGTCCTTGTGAAATTTATTTATGTAAACTGCCCCCACGATATAGGCGAAATTCCTAGTGTGGAGGTAACGTTTTTTAAAATTAACAATTTACATATTTGCCTTCTCAAAGTTGATTACTACTGATTTACAAAATAAAAATTGTATTACTTACCTCGTCTTAATAATCTATTATTAGGTGGATAAGTTTGAGATTTTTTTGCATCACTGTCCATGTTTTCGGAATTTAGTTGGATATCTGCTGTCACCTCTTCCTCTTCTTGATTGTCACTTGTTTGTTCAGTTTCCTGAGCGTGGTTTTCGATTGACTTCATAGGAATTACGATTTTTCAGTACTGAGTTACAAATAGTAATAAGTAACTAAAATAATTTTTCAAAAAACAATTTATAAAAAACTGAAGAAACAAAAAGGACAACCAGTACCAGATAATTATATTTGAATCCTGCTTTTCATAATGCAATCACAAAACATAGTACTAGTACTTTTTTAGTACTTAGTAGTAGTAGTAAAAATAAAAAAACGAAAAAAATAAAAATATTTAAAAGTTGTCGACGTTGTCATTTATTTTATTTTTATTAAGATCTTTGGCTTGGACGCTTATCTTTTTAGCTCGACGTTTAAATTTTTTTATTAAGAATTTTGGCTTGGATGCTTTTTTTTAAGCCATGTTTTCAATTCATTAAATATCTTCGTTTATATAGATTTTCAAGTGATATTTTTTTTATAGGATAAGGGTGACAAACGAGCACACAGTCCACCTGATGGTAAGTGGTTGCTGTGGCCCATAGACATCTACATCTATCCTCTATTACGAATCAAAAAGCAAATACGTTGTCACCCGTGAGGACTAAGATGGAATGCCTCATTTCCAATAAAAAGGGCCTCCGGCCACCTGCACTCACCAAGCGAAACGCAGAGGTAAACCTCTACTTCACGCTGGTTTTCTGTGAGGTCGTGGTACCACCCCGGTTCGAGCCGGCCAATCCGTGCGACAGCAAAAGCTGCCGCGTGGCTCTACCACTGTTAATATCCTTATAGCACATTGCTTCACAATATGTAGTTTTTGAGAGATTTTGACGGGAAGTTGAACCAGCAGACAGTTTGCTATAGTCACATACTAATAAGAAGTGGCTGTAGTATCTCATACCGGGTTTAGACTCTCGCCTCGCGCCTCGCCTCGTACCTCGCCTCGCAGCTCGAGTGTTGTTGTGAGGTAATAAGTGCCTGTATACACTCTCGCGATGCGTTCAGGTTGCGATGAGCCAGCAACGATGAAAGACGTCGAAATAATAGCGGCATCAAATCTTGCCTTAATAAGTATTTATCGATGCTTGACTATTTTAAAAAGAAGGAATTTAAAACAATACGTCGTTGAGGTAGGATATAGTGGATGATATCTATTCATCGAAACAGAACCTTTTCAGTTTCATAATTTTATATAAATTGCTTATGCCTATTGTGCAAGATTAGATAATATTATTTTATTAAAATTGTAATTTTGAAACAAAAGCAATTCGAATGTTATTATGGAAGAGCGACGTAAACAAACTGAAACGAGAGCGCGAGTGTAAACACCTAGCTCGCGTCCCTCGCGAGGCCCTTTGCCTCGAACCCAAAAAACCACCTCCGACGCGAGCGCCGCGAGTGGCGAGTCAAACTGCGAGGCGAGCCACGAGGTAGCGTTTACACTCGCGCTCGCCTCGCCGCTCGCGCGAGTGTGTAAACGGGGGTCAAGGCACCTAAGCAGATAGACACCCTATCTTGAGATTCACATCATCATCGAAGCACGTGTTTCACTGTTTCCACTAATAGTTAACATTCGCAGACATTTAATACACAAAATCCAATTCAAACCATTATTTAAACAAAACAGTCAAGTTGCCACCCACTGTGGTTCCCACCAAAACTCAATTCGCATTTGACTCCACACTCCACAGATTAATAAATACGTACTATGTAACCAACCTATTTAACCAAAGAGTATAGTAAAATATACTGGTATTTGACCCCATTCTGCTACATCTTTATTTATCTATGACTCCATTATAAAAAGAACTCAGAGCAGGCTCAGAAAGGAAAGGAACCCAGAGCCGTAAAGCCAGTTAAAAAAAGGTACTCTGTGACACCCATTTTGAAGTTTGAAGAAATGAAAAAAAAAATTGTTTGATTTAAACACATGTTGTATAATATGAATCATATTTTTAAACTTTTACCTAAAATTGGTTTAAAAACCAATCAAATCCTTGGTCTTCATACAAATGCTACATTATCAGCATGGGTTAAAGCAAAAACTCCAAAAAAGTTTTTAGAATATAATAAGAAGATATTTCCCCCTCAAGCAATCGGAGATGAACCTAGACCTGCAGTAAGGCCTTATTAATTCAATTTGTTTTCTTGTTTAGTACCATGGGATTTTTATCGTGACCCATTTTTATTAAAAAATAAGTAATTCTTATTGCAAATACCTTTTACCTAACAGCTTGTAACCAAAAGCCTACAATTTTATAATTTACTCTATATTTACTAGGCTTTATGTATTCTAAAGGAAGATAACATAAAATATGAACATTTTGTATGCTTTCGATACCTTGACGATTTAATTTAATAATTCTAAAAAATTGAATATCTCAATATCAATTGGTGAGTTTTCAATTAAGATCTCATTTATTTAAGAAGGGCATAAATAAAATACTGCAATCGAACCTATTTAATATTGCATTAAAGTGAAATGGACAGAGAAATTACATTTTATTAATATTTTTACTTATTTTATTCGTTACTGCACAAGTAAAAAATAATATCAAAAATTAATATCTTGAGAAGTACATTAGACTAACAAAAATTAAATAATAGTTTGAACAATGAAACTATTATTTTATTTTATTTAAACCCTTTAAAAATATCGTAAATTTTGGATAGTTGAAGTTTAATTCAATTATTTTATTAATCAATTAGTTACATAATATAATTAATTTCTAATTAAAGGAAAGGTGACTTTAGGCTTAGCTTTCCATTGACGTCAGGCGAGTTTGGTGTTGATACGTTTTTTTACAGAAAAATTACACTATTATAAGCACACACACAAAGTTTCAACATGTGGAAACGTGTAATTTTTGAGAAAAGAATTATTGAAAATCAATTATTCTTGCGATTCTTTCCGAAAAAGGTTGATTTTTAAATCGATTCAAATCGTAAGCTGATGTATCGGTTCACAAAAAATCGATCTCTGAAAGATCTGTATTTTTTTAATGTTTCTATTTATAATGTAAATATAAACCCATTTTATGAAAAACAAGAAAGATACCATGATAAATGATCTCTTATTGAAATTTGTTTTATTTAACAGTACCTATTAGGGCAGATAACAAATAAAATAAGTTAGGTTCAACTTATGTCAAAGAACTGAATTGATTTACCCCGACTCCACCTGGTACGAGTCTGTCCTACCCCTAGAGTGGTTTTATAGAGCCGGAGGCGCGTAGGGGGAGCAGCCTCCGCCTGCGATTTGTTACACTAAGGCGTAGAGGCTGCTCTTCCTGCAGTGCCGGATACGTAGCAGTCTCAAAATAGATACAGAAATCCTTCTGAATCAGTCCCCTTATTTTTTTATGATTAAGGGGATTTTTTTCTCATAAAATGGATTTATATTTACATTATAAATGCAAACATGAAAAAATATCGTTATTTTAGAAATAGATTTTTTGGGAATCAGCTTACAATTCGAATCTATTTAAAACATCGATCTTTTTCGGAAAGAATCGACATCCCTACTGACAATAATAATAAAAATGGCGTCAGTTTCACGGTAGGAATTGACTAAATATTGCAAAATTATTTGATTTACAATATTTTTTTCTCAATAAGTACGTGTTTCCGCATATTGAAACTTTGTGTGTGTGCTTATAAAAATGTAATCTTTCTGTAAAAATACGTATCAACACCAAACTCGACTGACGTCAATGGAAAGTCGTACCTGACTTTATACTGCAAATAGGAACCCATTGACTTTAGTTTCTTCTTAAGGGTGAAAATTATTGGAATAGACCAACTGCTTTCATTAGTTAGGGATTGAGATTACTTTGAATCCTCAACTTTGGGTATTTTATTGAGTCCAAAGCCAATGTAACCACTAGAATGTTGTGTAGCCACATAGATGTGGCTGTACTTTACATTAGAGTAGATTCTAAAATTATACAGGTTGTCTGTCAAATAATGGATAAGCTGAAATGGGTCATGACAAAACTTATAGCCCTTCAAAACAAAGCAATATGTCCAGGAAACTGTGTCAATATAAGCAATTGATGCTATACACAACTGCTCAGAAGAACATTTATTTGTAAGTGCCTGCATTGGAATCAGGCAATTCAAACATTTTGGTACTATAATTTATGGCAAAAAAGTATTAATGTGGAGTGTAGTGTTTTATTAAACTTAAAATGATTTTTTATATATTTAATGTTAAAATTTATCCTAATTTAAATTAATGTAAAAATTGTTTAATTAAAATTTACTCCATAGACACTGTACACTACATTAGACACAATAATGAATTATAATTTTTTTTATTTTTGTATTTTGGTATTTGCTATAAACACCATATTATAAAATAATTGGACACTAATATTTCAACACATTTTTTATACAAAGGATGCATAAACTTGGTCAAAACAAATATTTGAGCAAGTTTTTTACTAAAAAAATTCAAGTTATTTTAATAAAACATGCATACCTATTGTGATAATATTTTTGCAGTTTGTTTGTCATCAAAAAGCTAACATTAAATATAGCCCAGAAAAGCTTTGGTATGTGGCCTGTTTAGTCCGTGGTATGACAGTTGATGAAGCCGTTAAACAATTAAGTTTTGTTAATAAGAAAGGTGCTGTTTTTGTTAAGGAGGCTATACTTGAAGCACAGGAACTTGCAGTATCACAACATAATGTGGAATACCGAAGCAACTTATGGGTGGGTGCGTATCAACCAATTCTTGTAGTATAGAATGATGTCATCTGATCACATCCATTTGTTCATTGAAATTAGGTTTTAAATGACTTGTTGCTTCTTGGTACAGTTTTTATTTTTTACTGTTTATTTATTTATATAATTAGTTACACATGCAATTTAGAATGTAGGGATCATAAAACACCTTATTGTAACTACATTTGTTCCAAGTGTTCACAACATAAATTATTTCAAAGATACATATTTAAGCTAAGTTACAGTACTGTTACAGCCTATTAGTCCACTGCTGAACATAGGCCTCCCTCATAGATTGCCACATAGGAGGTATATTTCCCATAGTTGCTATGCTTGGCAAGTTTTTTATTTTTAGTCATTATTAGTAGTATGTTGCTGACCATCTCCTGATTTGTTACACTCCCTCGCCTCTTACGACATTCACCAAATGAAATGGGGTAGTGGATATTCTTACACCGTCACTACATGGTTAGTTACAGTACATAGTCTACCCACGCTATAGCCACTGATTATGTATTAATTAACTCTCCATGTACTTGCTGAAGATGACCAAAACTTGCATCTCATGGGTGATATCAAAGTATTTGAAATTTTTGTGGAATTATAAATAATGTACTGTTATAAAACACAAAAAATACTGTGTCTAAACTACTGGAAAGCAAGCTCCCCATACTTTTAAAATTCATCACAATATTTTATAGGCTTAGGTGAAGGTAATAAATAAGTAATTAAGATCATTTCATAAAGAAAGAACAATACATATTTAATTTTTTTTATTTGTATTTCGTTAAGATGTGCTTTTAAAACCAGTTTCTTATAGGAGCTCTTTAAGTATATTTCTTTACTACGCAATATTATAGTCCGCTTCATGTCTTTATCTAATTTTCTCTATATGTTCTTGTACAATTTATAGTTTATATTCAATTCAATACTGTTCAATTCATAACTGTCTGGAGGTACAACTTGGACGCTGGTAACACCATAAAATAGGATGTCTTGAGTAACTGACTCATCTATCAACACACAGCCCAAACCGCTAGGTGTAGAAACCTGAAATTTGGACAGCAGTTGCTTTTTATGACATAAGCATCCACTAAGAAAGGATTTTGGGAAATTCTACCTCTAAAAGGGTGTACTCCAGTACTCCAGTATAGTCATCCTCTTTCTTCAATAAATCATTATCTGTTATAGCCGCATGCTGGAGGAACTCTTTGCCTCTACGTATTTGGTGTGTTCAATCCCTTTCTCCTCATTCAAAATTCTTCTCAAAGCTTATTTCTTGTAACTTCTATTTTGGATAACTTACAGGCAAATATTGAAATGTTCTGAAAACTCGTAAGAACTGGGGACATTCAATAGCCTAGAATGAATGCTATACGAGACCAGAATGACTGTATTCTGAATGACGAAGTTTAGTTTATTTAGAAGAGATGGAAGGAATACTTTAAAAGCGTGTTTATGAGTGAGGGGACATTTGAAATAAAATGAAATAGAAATTCCGAAAAAAAAAAAGGTAAGAGATGGGAGATAAGTATAAAAGCATGAAAGCAGGTAAGGCAGCCCGATATAGTAGAGTATCACTCGAAATGCTAAGGACTGGAGAGAGAGTGGTGGCAGGTCTGCTGTACACCTTGTTTAATTTATATTGGGAATTGAAGCGTGTACTGGGAGACTGGTGCAAAGCTGTGATAGTCCCAATAGGTATATAAAGGAAAAGGGTTGCAGCAGGACTGTAAAAACTACCGTGGTATCAGCCTTCTTAGCATTGTGGGAAAACTGTATGCTAAGGTACTAATGGAAAGAGTTATGAAGAAAACGAATGAGAATAACAGAGAAGTTTTTGGCGTAAAACCAAAAACTTTTTTGGACTTTCATGGACTTGGACCTGTGTCTGTTCAACTTAAGGACAGTTGTTTCGAAAATTTGAAAGTTGAAGATTATGGGATAAGAATGGGTGAGGTCATATTTTCGTCGTCGGCGGCCGAGTTGTTAATGGTCGTTACATTAATGAACAGAATGAAAGTGAATGCAAGTAAGATGAAAGTTATGGTTTTAGAAAGAGAAGAAAGTAAAACTATAATATGTGAAATAAAAATAGAAGGGGAGTTGGTCGAGCAAGTAGATGAGTTTATGCATTTGGTATGTGTATTTAGCAGGGATGGTAGATATGATGGTATATAGAACGATTGAATGCAGAAGACTAAATGGGGCTTTACACTATTATGGAAAATCAGAATGTGTCAAAAAAGGCAAGTATGGCAATTCACAGTGCTGTGCTACTCACTACTTTAATGTATGGTAGTGAAAGTTGGGTGTGGCAGAAGAAGCACGAAAGTAAAATAAATGACGTAGAAATGCGGTCATTAAGGAGTATGTTAGGCCTGAATCTGAATGACAGGGTGAGAAATTGTGTGATACGAGAAGAGTGTTGTTTGCAAGATGATGTTGGAGGTTTGGTCAAAAAGTGACAAAGTGAAAGAGTGACATAGCAAATTTATGTTGCTGAAGTAAACGGCAGAGTCGGGAAGGGACGCCCTAGGCGAAAGTTTATCGACCAAATTGGCCCCTTTGGTACCCTTAACCGACGAGCATGCATGCGTAGGCATATGGAGATGTGGGGAAACAAGAGACGTGTGTTAGGATCGTGCCAAATGGAAGTCCGTTATCTATACCTACCGCTCTGAGTGACAGTCGTGAGTTTATGTATGTTATATTTCCCATCATACTTCCTGTCATTTCTTATATCTATACCAGTTTCCTCAACTGTCATCATCGTGTACACCTCTCTTATAGCCATTCGTTTCGTATAAGTTTTTGCATAAAATGGATGTCTGGAAGAAATCGCTTACAGAACGAAATGCCGATTTATTTCCACGGAAACTTTGTGTCTTCGTCTTAACACTTTATGGTTAAATTTCGCAAAATAAAATATATAATAGAATTATAAAATCGCCCCGTAAAATGAAGTGCCGTAAAAACTATAACAGCCTATTTCACCCGAGGGTGGTTTGTGTTGGAGTGTATGAGTTTGAATTTTTCAAAATTCTTAGTGGACACGTAATTAAAGAAAGCTATTATCCTAATCTCACGCTTCTACGTCCAGCGATTCGGGCTGTGCTTCTAAATACAATATTTCTCATACAAACTGCAACCTCATTTTTTTGAAAACCACTTTATTTACAGGGTACTTTCAGTAGTTTTCAAGTCAATCGTCTCCCGTAAAATATAGTTTCATAAAAACTGTAAAATCCTGTTTCACCCTCTTAGGGTTTGAATTTTCCAAAATCTTTTCTTAGTTGATATTTAAGTAATAAAAGGAACTTATTGTCCCAATTTTAGGCTTCTTAGTCCAGCAGTTCGGGTTCTCAATCTTAAAATACAATATTTTTCATACAAACTGCACCCACCTTTGAAAACCTTAAAGACCAATTTTAAAAATAATTAAATAGTGGGTATTAATTTTTTAATTCCAGAGTAAACTTATATGCCCCAATTTTCAAATAAAAAAGAACATTAATAAATTTTTCTCCATACAAATTTGAAGACCCCTGGCTCCTTCGTAAGAGGTTGTTTTGAAAAATCGCTAAATTCGAATTCATTTATTTTATTTACAGAGTACCTTTAGTAACTTATGGGTAAATCGTTCCGTAAAATAAAAAGTTTCATACAAGATGTAACAGTCTGTTGCACCCCCTTAGGGGTTGAATTTTCCAAAATACTTTCTTAATGGATGCCTATGTTACAAACGGCAACTACTGTCCAAATTTCAGAATTATTCGTCTAGCGGTTTGGACTGAGCGTTGATGATAGATGAGTCAGTCACTCAGGACATCCTCTTTTATATATAAATTATTATAGTTTTATAAATGGGAATTGTAATGAAAATTATAAGTGTGTTATGTAAAATATGGATAATATATTATCCACATTTAATGGAACAGCCTAGCTCTTTTTTAATGGCCTATTAACTTATGAGACATTCCTTTTTATATTTAGGGATGTAAATGCATCAGTAACCTTATTTTTTTATTAGCTCTTGTTATCCATGGCCTGCAGTGGCTACTTAACAACATATAGACTTCAAGCAAACGTCATAGTAAATAGGCTATTGCAAAAATCCCTGGACATGAATTAACAGAAAGTAAGTTTTTACATTTATTTCAGCTGAATCCTTTGCAAATAAAGGCATGGTTGTAAAAGGTGTACGAAGACACGCAAGAGGACGAATGGGGGAAGTTCGATATACCTATAGTCATTATTTTGTTCGCCTTGAAGAGGGTAAACCTCCCAAAGATTATTATAAAATAAATGCATTAACACCACAAGAACAACTTGATGCATGGTTGGAACAAATGAGAAAACGAAAAATTATTAACTCATATTAGATTAATGTTATTAATTTTATTTTACTTATGTAATTAAATGTTATTGATTGATAGTTGTAACTCTATTTTTCATTCTTTCTTTAGGAAGCGCTCATAATGTGTGAATTAGCAGAAGCTGCTGCTTAGCTTAGAGATATCAAAAGGATACTATGGATAAAAATTTGGATACATCTTTGCTCATACACAAATAATAGATATAACATCATCATCATCTTGTGGCACGTGACAATCCACTGCTGGATAAAGGCTTGACTCGAACCATGTCATTCATAAGTGCGGTAACAACTATGCTCATTATGCAGTGTCATCCATTTGTTGTTATTCTAGTAGTACAGTTTAAAGAGCTAACAGTTGTGAATCGCCTTTAATATCAGGCGATGTTTGGTTGGTATGTAGGGGTTGTCGCGAAATTAGGAATATAATGATATTGTATATTATAATACTATTATTATATTATAATACTAATATATACACGTGGTAGAGCCATGCTGCAGCTATATTACACGTGGTAGAGCCATGCTGCAGCTATATTACACGTGGTAGAGCCATGCTGCAGCTATATTACACGTGGTAGAGCCATGCTGCAGCTATATTTTACACGTGGTAGAGCCATGCTGCAGCTATATTAGTAGAATAGTTGTAGTACGAATGGGTCGGCTCGACCGGGGAAGGACCACGCTCTCACAGAATACCAACGTAAAATAGCAGCTTAAAACTGATGTGTTTCGTATGGTGAGTGTAGAGAACCGGAGACCATTTTTACTGGAAAAGAGGCATTCCATGTTAGTCCTCACGGGTGACAACGCATCTGCATTTTGATTTGCAAGCGAGGATAGATGTAGATGTCGATGGGCCACAGCAACCACTTACCAGCAGGTGGACTGTGTGCTCGTTTGTCACCCTATCCTATAAAAATAAATACTCATTATCATTTATTAACATTATGTACATACTTATATGTTAAAAACATCTATTGATTGTGTATGTATTATAGTATTCGATAATGGAACCAGATTATTTTTTACTACAAGAATAAATACATATTGCAAGTGTTGCACTGCTAAATATTTTCGTGACACATGCATTCGGATAAACATATTATTAAAAAAAAAAAAGAGGTAAACATAAGTACGACCGTCATTTGAATTCAACTTTACTTAGTAACATATAACTAGGTATAATAGTAATTCACAATTATAGTTATTATATTTTTCGAAAACTGCACTTAAAATTAATAATTACAGGTGTCCCAGAAGGGACGTCAAGCCGGAATCGTGTGATGGTCAAGTCGTAATAGTTAACAGAAGAATATAAAAAAAAATGTTAACTGTGTACTTATTTCAAAAATTCCAGGCATAGATACCTACATAAAAAAAATCGAGAAAATGTGAAAGAGGCTGAGCCTGTGACGGTCTTTTAACTCCTGTTGCTACAAAATTTAACTTTTTTTAATTCTTTTTATTATGTAATCCTGAATAATTATTCTGAAAACTGTTGCGTAAAATAATACTTTGCCCAGTTTTAAATGACTACTGAAAAAAAATGTACTACACGAGTTTGGCTTTAAAAGTTGGCGCATATATTATGGACTAGCTTTTACCCCCGGCTTCGCTCGCGTTGGCTTCAATTTAGAAATATCATTAAAACTACTTCGTTTAAAGTTAAAATTTCATAAATGTAGTTCTATTCACGATGAACGTGTGACAGGGACTATATTCATGAACGGGAGTAGAAATATAGAGAAGATGGGCAGCAGCGTCTTTCTGATTACAGCTCAAAATTATAAAAAGATGCAGTTAGCAACCCGCCTGCCAAGCGCGGCAACAACGGATCATATCCAACTTATTAAGTAATCTATGGAGGGAATCGATATAATGAACGGGAGTAGAAATATATTAGCAATGTAGAGGCGCGAAATGGAAACCAATACCTCATTTCGTCTCGTGGGTGTCGTAAGAGGCGACAGAAGGGAAACTGAAACAGGAGATGGATAGCAGCATCTTCTTGATAACAATGCACAGTAATAAAAAGCTGCGGATGCCAACCCACTCGCCAAGCGTGGTTACTAATGCAAATATCCGGCTTATTTGACAACCAATGGGAGAAGCCTATGATTAACAGTGGATAGGCCTATTAAAAGTAAAAAAGTAGCAGCGTACATACATCCCACTACTGGACAAAAAAGAGTTGAGTTGACTACAACGCGGGTTGACTGACTTCACATAAGTATACCTAAAAATTATTTCAGAAATATTTTTTTAACTACTCAAATATGTAGGTTTCTCTCGATATTTTGCTTCACCACCGAGAACGTGGTAAATCGAAACTTCAAATTGTAATTAAAATATGATTGGTGTCGGTGCGGATCGAATTTGGGTCGCTTAGGATCGGTTCGATTACCGGATAACTTTCAAGATTCTATCAATGTAGTTTTACTCATAGTTAAAATAAAAATAAACGTGCGTTTAAAATTTGCTGTCTTCAATATTTATAGTACTTTTTCGCAAGAGGCTGTTCATTTACGAAAATTTATGAAACCGGAACTGTCACAAAAATCTCAATAGCTAGTAGTAGTAACTTCATTGTACCTCGCGGGAATCGAACTCTTTTGTTCCTGTGCTTTGAAATCTTACGGTGGGCTACACAGCGTATTTGCTTAAATAAACTCATAATCATAACCACTGAAAATAAGATAATTAATAGAATCAGGCGTTACTTTGCGGAAGTTCATTATATTAAATTTGGAAAAAAAAATATTTTGCGTACATCCGCTAGATAAAATAAAATGTGTCTTACCTAGTTTAAAGAGCACCTCCCGCCCTCCCTCAATTGCGTGCACTATCCCCGTCACCACTAATCCCAGCACCACTACACTAGGAAAGACACACCACTGACGACAATACGACACGTGTTGGTCGCAACTTCGAAACACTTTATAAAGAGCATTTAGCCGCGTACAGGAATTGCAATCCCGATATATCCCATTTTGCTAAACATCTTTTGGATACTGGACATAACCTAGCCAACGACCACTCCTTTAAAGTCTTACATACGTGGAATAAAGGGCCGCGACTGTGTGTGCTGGAACAGTTAGAGATATTAAAAAGTAATAACAGTAACGTTGCACTGCTGAATGAACAAACAAATGTTTCTAACTCACCTCTCCTAAATATCTTTAAGCCTGCTCTCTAAGAGCAGACAGCCTCGCAAGATGATCGTTTGTCACCCTCACGGTGATCGGCGATTGGTTGCGTGGTTGGAGGGTAGGCGGGCGTTGCGCGGCGGTTTGTTTTTAATTTTACAAACGGCTGCGTAAGTTCGGCGGTGATTGGTCGCATGTTTTATCGCATGACGCAGTCACTCGCTCCTTAAGCAGGGAGCGGTTGCGTCAGCGGTCTGTATAAAAGTCAGTTGTTTTGGCTCGCCGCTCACTTAGCGGTTAGCCACCATAGAGTCTATATCACCTGAGGATGCCTCGTGTAGAGGCGAAACACGTGTCGTATTGTCGTCAGTGGTGTGTCTTTCCTAGTGTAGTGGTGTAGGGAGTAGTGGTGCTGGGATTAGTGGTGACGGGATAGTGCACGCAATTGAGGGAGGGCGGGAGGTGCTCTTTAAACTAGGTAAGACATCATTTTATTTTATCTAGCGGATGTACGCAAAATATTTTTTTTCCAAATTTAACACTGAAAAGAAGCTTTTGCACTATTGTGGACCCCATCTACACTGTAATTAGTCAATCAAACTATTCCATCATTTAGATATGAAAATACACTTAATTTAAATTATCAATTTTGATACAAAAGGAAGTTGGTGACATTTTGCTATGCTGATAGATAGAAGATTGCTACCGAGCCTGAGCTGATGCATCAACGTTCCAGGAAGTAAACACCAGCGTCCTTAAAAATAAGTATAATTCCGCCTCCAGGTCTAAAGAAACTAGTTGGTAAGAAACTAGTTCACCTTCCTTCGGAATTCTGGTCTCTCGCCAAGGCTGCCCAAGGGAATTTCAGTCTGCCATCTCTTCCATCTCTGCACAGGGAGGACACCTCACTGGACCATGCCGCAAAGGAGAAAGCCGATCTGCTATGCTATGTGTAACTAAATGCGGTAAAAGGCAATTATGTACCTATGTTGTTGATAACAAAATAGCTTGAATACCCATCTCTCATCCAGTATATACTACGTACATTTTTGTTTGAAATAGTTGTTCTACGTAAGTAATAGTAGTACGTAAGTACGTTATACTTCAATAGTGTTCAGTGCTGTGCATGTTTAAATTTTCAAAGGCACTGTGCGATATTATTTTGTATTAGTCAAGGCAGTATAGGTACTACCTTTTTTATACCTGCTTAAAGTTTATAATTTCTATGTGTTTAAATAAATTTATATATTTTTATAAGTGTATATAAATCCCATTTCCCTACCAGAAGAAATCACAGAGTAACAAATAATAACACCAAGACCCTCGCATCATCTTCCCCGGATACTGACTTGGTGTCTGCAGGGTTTTTTCAAACCCAGCCATCGGCATCCGTTGCTGACGGAATACACCGCATGCACTGGTTCACATAAATGAACAAGAACATATTGCGGCCGAAGGGGTAACAAAGTGGAACGTTCATGTCTTTCCCTTTAGCCTGAACTCCCGCCTGGTTTTAATATGTATGTATGAATATATTTTCATAATATTTATTAATTTTTATCATATTTATCTTTTAGATAGATATTTACTAGATGATAACACTAAAAAAGTATCTTCCAGACCAAAATTGGTTACGGCGGGCAATCTAAACGGAGACTAGCCATCTGAACAGGATATAATTGCACGAGTGTATGCAAACACAGGTGCACTATACTCCCTCACTCTGTCTTTTTTTTAAACACGTTTGGCCCGACCTGGGGTACAAACCTGGAACCACATCCTCATGTGAAAAAGACAGACTAGGCAGTCGGTCTAGTGATCGTAAGCGTAAATTTTATCTTGATGCATATTACAAGTAACTCAAATATGTGCATCCAGTCACTCGAGTAAACACTATTTTTTAACTTATGTGGCTGTTAATAATACGCAACATAACACCTTTTTTCTTTTAATAAAATAATACAAAGTATTATTAAATTGATTTAATTTAACATAATATTCTACAAACTATTATAAACATCGGAAATAAGTTATTCATTCATCATTTTCGAAATCAGCGGGATTTTTACGGCTGCGCCTGTGATGCTCTCTTTCAACTCCTTCATACACTAGGTATGCAACTATGAATGCTGTGAACAAAAATAATCTATTATTATAATCATATTGATGCTATAAACGTCTGCAATGGCAGCTTAAGAGAATAATTAATTATTTCCAACTCTGCGCAATTCATAATCTTATATTTGTAAAAGTTAAAGCACCAAAAACTTAGTTAAATCATAAGACATTCGAAAGAAAATAATGATGAAAAAAAATCTATCCTCAACTGAGAATCAAAATGCATACGCGCTGTCACCCCTGAGGACTTAGATGGAATGTCTCATTGCCAGTAAAAAGGGCCTCCGGTTCTCTACATTCAACATAGGAAACACAGCAGCATTAAGCTGCTATTTTACGCTGGTATTCTGTCAGAGCATGGCCCATTTGGGGTTGCAAAGAGCTGTCACATATTTTAAACATCAGCAGTATCCACCGAGCTAGACATCCTAACTATAAGAGATTGTCTCATACCTGCTCATACATTAATGCGGCACGTAAGTCTAGCGCTGAACAAAACGTCGAGGGGACGCGCACGAATTGAATTGCACAAATGCGACTGGAGAGCCAATCAGCGCGTGCGAACGATACGCACGAGCCAATCAGCACGACTTATGCGGAATAAGCCAATCAGCGCGACTTATCCGCAATAACGGTCACCGCTAGACTTTCAGGTTTAGACATAACAGCTATAAGCTGCTCGAATATTACAACATCCCGTCAAATGAGTTTTTCTGGAAATAGCCATACAATGTCATGCCATATATATATCTAGGCCAACCAGATGATAATTTATAAATGTCCCAAAATAATAATAATTAATAAACATGTGCAAAATAACTACCATTTACCTAAACTGTACAGCACAAAGTTGTCCTGCCGTTGAAGGTAAAATAAATACCTTGGCATTATTTTGGACAATAAGCAGAATTGATCTAGTTATTTAGATCATAAAATTATTAAGGTAAATATCACCTTATTACAATGCAAGAGGATGATAGGTAGATGCTGGGGTCTGGCTCAGTCCTATGGCTATAAAGAACAATGATGAGACCTCTGATCTACAGTGCACTAGTCTAATGGAAAAAACCAACCTAGTTACCAAAACTATATATATAAACTTCAAAGATCCCAGATACATGCATAACTGCCACTGCCACTAGGGCTGTATTGAGAACAACACCTAATGTGGCCATGAAGGTCATGCTTGATCTGACACCATTGTCTTTTCATTCAGCAGGAAGCAGCGATTTCGGCTATCAGGCTAACTCTCAACTTGTAGAACAACAACAGGGTCCTTCATGCAGGCATTTTGGATGGACTCTATGAAGATTTACCCATTCTGCAATCAAAGAATGACAGGATCCCAAAACAATTTGTATTCCACAAAAAGTATAGAATCCAGTTATACAAACCATTGAAAGCTAAATGTCAATGTTCAAAAGAAGTGATAATCTTTACTGATGGATCTCGGAGGACTTAAACATACATATAAAAATACCACTAGAGTCCCAAAACATCTTTCAAGCTAATTGTATGAGTATAATCCAAGCAGCAACAGCATTCGCAGTTAAGGAAGTAAAGAATAAAGGTAGGAAGGTCTTACAGGGCCTGAACAATCATGTTATGAACTCTGGACAAATATATGAATCAGACTGGAAGCTATCTCCCTACTTTTTGATGAATTTGGGGTGACTCAAATAGCATTAATTCCTTAGTTGTGGTGGTGCAGAAACCAGCCCGTATAATACAAAACTAACTTTAAAAATTAATATCACAAAAACTAAATGTTTCTGTAATTTAAAATTTTAGAGCAAGACAAATAATATCTGTCCCTTATAAAAGCTTAAACCTTCAAATTGAGTCTTTGTACAGTCAAACCGTCAGTTGCAATTTCACACTGGTATTCTGCACATGTGTAGTCCATCCTCAGTAAAGCCGATCCATTCACAGTGCAGAATATACTGCATCATGGCTGTACAAAATAATGATAATTACCAAATTACCTTCATGATATAGGAGAAATTCCTAGTGTGAGAGTAACATTTCTAGTTTAGTGGGGATGGGCCTTGTCAGCCCCATCTACCAGCTGGATCGAGCTCCCGATGTCGCGCTGTGACCCAACTTCGCGTCCTTATATTCTCCCGGTAATCGTAACGCCTGAAATTCTTTTTTAAAGTAGGGCGTTCCCAAAGGTGCGCGCTCCATGGAGGGTGGAAAGCCGGGGGGACGAATTTTTAACACAAAGTCAACGGACAATTTAAGGCCCAGTAAGAAAGAGGGAGAGGTGTCAGAGGTGCTTACCAGAGACACCAAAGAACAAAGGGGAACCGCCATTAAGCCGACGGTTCCACCGACAGTACCGTCCAGCATAGGTGACCCCACCTAGGGGACAATTTTCGCGCTGAACGTTTCAAAAACCAGTTTCAAACCTGAGGAGCTGGAAGAGAAAAAGGAGCAAGAGCCCGCGAGTAACAAAACTCCTGCGGAGCCTCAAAGAAAGGACGACCTTTTCTCTGCTGCCTGACAAGTGGTGAGCCGTAAGGGGAAAGGCAAGGCACCCAGAAAAGTGACTTACCGACCTGACGGACCATCAGGAGGGCCTATCCCTGCAGGCAGTATAGGAAAGGCCAAAAAGAAGAATAAGAAGCAGCGAGAAAAAGGCCGAAGAGAACGAGCCGCGCTGGCTCGTTCTCTTCTCCTACTGCGACTAGGATGCTTGGGGCTGGAACCAGTAGCCGCGCTGAAGCTGGGAAGGATAAAAATCCAGCCCAAGTGGAAGTCGTGGCAGCGGGAACCAGCTCTAAGATATCCGCCAGGAAACAGCGAGCGGCCAAGCGTCCTGAGAAAAAGGAAAGAGCAGCCAAACGGATGCTGGAAGAGTCCACCTCGCCGAGAGGAGAGCACAAAAAAGTGCGACTCGAACAGCAACCAAAGGCTGCAAGAACAAGCTACGCTTCCGCTGAAAAAGCAGATTTGGGTGTGACCTTGACGTGTGCGCGTTCAGGTCACATTACGAAGGAAGTAGCAGACGACATCCTCGTGGCAATACAGAGAAAAATGATCAGTGAGGCCTGGAGTAGCCAGGACCCTGATGCGTCGGGCCCAGTTTTTAGAGGCAAACCCGTTTACACGGAGGATGTCCTGAAACTGTGGTGCGACGATCAGAAGGCTCTGGATTGGTTGAAGGGGAATATTGCTACCCTCGACCTTAAATCCAACACCTCGCTGACTATAAAGAAACAGTCGGAGATACCACAAAGAGTCAAATGTGGTATCCTTATCCCTGATGCCCAGGGAGCCTAGAAAGAATCACGCGACATTGGTCGTGTGCTGGCGTACCAGAACCGCTGGGTTAACATCAGGGCCTGGCTGTTACTCAAGGCAGATAAACAGACGGACAGGTGGTTCCTAGTTGTTTCGGTGCCGGAGGATCATATCCCGACCCTGATGAAGGCCGGACGCCGTCTTGCATGTGTATGCGGGGCGGTTTACGTGAAATTCCAGGGTCGTGGAGGTAAATTCTTTGGCACTCCACCAAGCAAAGAGGCAGTAAATAACCCGGAAGTTATGGATACCGGAGACATGGTTACCGGTAAAGCTGAGTCACTGGAGACCAAGTCCAGTGAAAAAACGACCTGAACAATTGAGCCAAAGCCCCCAGTAGAGATCGGGCTCAGCGGCAGCTCATTGAGTGATGAGGAGGACTGTATTTTGCCGACCACCTCCGACTCGGTGGCTGAGGATGAAACCCGGGATCTGCTGGCAGGCTTATTTTTGGGCGGGGACGGAGAGGACGCGATCAATGATGGCGTGCCCTTCGTCCAAAACTAGCCTAGTGCAGGCCAACCTCCACCATAGCGAAACTGCGTCGGCTCAATTACGCAAGTTGTTGGAGGTTCAAAGGACGGCCATAGCCTTAATCCAGGAGCCGTGGGTTAGGGCTGGTAAAGTTAAAGGCCTAAACAACCTAAAAGGTAAGCTATTCTACAGCTCTGAACACGACAAGCCTAGAGCGTGTATAGTGTAAATACACGCTCTAGGCTTGTCATGTAAAGATATCTGTGCACAACATGACATATTGACACTAACAGCAAAAGACTGGAATTTAGCACAAAGAGTGGTAACGATAACGATAATGAGAGCCTGTCTGGCTCTTAATTATGTTCTTAGGGGATGGAGGGAAGTGAAAGTCACATTCATACCAAAACCAGGTAAAAGCGACTACACAGACCCTAAATCGTACAGGCCCATTAGCCTCACATCCTTTCTCCTGAAGACAATGGAGAGGATGTGTGAAAGGCAATTAAGGGGGTCAGCGCTAATGAACTTACCACTATACGACAAGCAACACGCCTACAGTCTAGACAAATCAACAGAATCGGCACTTCACCACGTAATAACAAAGATTGAAGAGGCCATCCAAAACAAAGAAATATGTCTAGGTTCCTTCATTGATATAGAAGGTGCTTTTAATAGAACAAACTTCTCCCGCATAAAACGTGCACTCAGTAGACATAAAGTTGAACCGGCACTGATTGACTGGGTAGTAAACATGCTCAGTACACGAATAATAAAGATTGCTGGTGAATCTCATCCAATCCAAATTAAGAAAGGCTGCCCACAGGGTGGGGTACTCTCCCCTCTCCTGTGGAATATGGTCATTAATGAACTAATCAGCAAAGTAAATGCCAATCACTTCTACACAGTAGGTTATGCTAATGACGTGACAATACTGGTCTCTGGAAAGACAGCAAGCATAGTGTGCAACCTGACCCAAGCGGCTCTCCGTGTAGTAGAGAGATGGTGCAGGTAATACGACTTAACCATTAATTCAAATAAAACGGTTCTAGTAATGTTCACACAAAAACGAATGCTGAATAACTATCATCTCCCAAGTCTTTTCAGCACAAAACTCCAGTTATCCTCTGAGGTAAAATATTTAGGTCTTACCTTGGACAGCAAACAAAGTGTATGTATCATTGAGGGGTTTACATATTATAATAAACAAGACAATCGGTGCCAATATTTAATATCAAAAGTAATTTAATGTCAAATATTTGCCTTCAAAATTAATTAATTTAATAATGTTTTTTTTTCAACTGCATTTACTACTCAGTGCAGTAACTATCGACGAAGGTATTCTCGCGATAGATGGGAAGTAAAGAGAAGTTATGACATTATGAGTGATGCTGTAATTACTTTAGAACCTAGTAGTTTACAGTTTAGATTTTATTATGTAGACACATTACTTAATATTATTATGTAAAGTCAAATATTGCGAGGTTTAGTGTTGATTTGGAAGTGTAATTTATTTTAATATAAATTACATAATTTAAAAAAAACTGGTTAGTTATGTATCTAGGTAAAAAACGGGTAATATTTTATAATAAACATGAACCAAATTAAATATAACTTACGTGGAGCGACTCTAAACACATTTTCACGAAATCTGCGGAAAAGGTTTGGAAGTCCAAATGAGATGGCACCAGCATAGGCGCGTTGTTCATGTGGAGACAGTTTGTAGGTAATCAATCCCCTGATTTTGGCTAATTCACCAAAGTGTTTTCCCATTTTAGCACTACTGCCTTGATTACCAGATTATGTGAAATACCAAGGTACCTATCTAGTTCTCAGGTTAAACAGGTTATTATTATGTAAGACTTGACTGACTGTATCTGGTATATAGTGTATTATCTATGGACTGTATGAAATACCCATAGAATTGTTAGAAGAACAAGGTTAACTCGCTATTTAGTGTCAAGCCAATTCATACTTCAAATAAAAAAGAAATAAAGTTTAATTTTGATAACTCATGAAAGTAAGGATTCACTACCTACTCTGTCAAATTTAGCTTGATATTGTTGTTTTTATTATTCCCTCGAGAGAGCAAGCAAAGGAACTAAGCCATACAGCCTTGTCTTTTTTATTTGGAATATATAGAATTTTAAAATGTAAAGGCCGGAACCAAGTCATATTTTTGTTCTTTCCATCTCTTCAGAATCTATAAAGGCTGAAGCCAAGTCTTATTTTCTTTAATTCTTCATATTTTCAAAAACCGTAAAGGCCAAAGCCTAGTCTTCTTTATATTATAATCTTTGTAAGTTATATATAAATCCATGTAGATTTGTCAATCCAATATTTTCAAAAACAGGGATACCATATTTCATATTTCTTTTACAGTATTATGTATAAAATTGCAAAGTGCTAAATATGTCTTAGTATTCCTAAGAACATCTTGCAGGGCACGCGAGACTCTTTCTGACTTTTCATAAACTTGTTTAAGTTTTTCAATGAGTAGCAATCTTTCTATGGCGTACGCTGGGCAGTTAAATATTATATGTTCTGCAGTCTGATATGCTTCTGTATCGCAGAAGTTGCATGTTGCAGATACTACTATTCTCATCCTGGAAAGATGAGCGTTCAGTCGATAGTGGCCAAATCTAAGTCTGGACATTATTGTATAAAATTTTCTGCTATGATATCTTTCGTTGCAAGAAAACCAAGGAATACTTAATTCTGAATTAATTGACGCATACCAACGACCTTTTCCTGCCTCTAAAACAGCATTCCATTGCTTTTTACCATTCTTCTTTTAACTGTTGCTTTAAAATTGAATATAAATCTGTATGTGGTATTACAACATGGTTATCCTGTCAATATCAGCTGTAACTATACTTTTAGCTAAATGGTCTGCGATTTCATTTCCTTGAACACCAATATGTGAAGGAGTCCATAAAAATTTTACTTCCAAATTATTTTCTTTCAATTTCCACCACAAACTTGATTTCATATATGATGAAAGACGTTTTATCATCTAAAGTTTTTGCCTTCGGTGCCTTCAAGACACTCATGCTATCAGAGATCAGTAATCATTTATTAGATACATGTGGGTGTTCTTCTATATATTTAAGAGCGATTAAGACAGCATAACATTCTTCAGTGTATATGCTTGCTGATGCAGGAATGAAAAGGCCACGTCCAGTTTTCAGATGAGGTATGTAAAATGCAGAGGCTACTTTATTTTCATCTTTTGAACCATCTGTGTAAATTTGTCGATATTCATCATATATAGATATAAGTTCATAAACCTCTTCTTTTCTTTTAAAATTTTTATCAATATTTATGTGTATATCATTGAATTTACTTTCAAAATTCCCCTTAAAACAAGGCCAAGTATGTGTGCTTTTGTGAATATTATATTGTTCATCATATCGTATCACTTCATGAAAGTCATGGAGTATATATGGGGCTGAGTTAGATATAGAAGACATACTATTATAGTAAAATAATACTTTTTGAAAAAGAGGATGATGAGACAAAGAAATGTTTATTAAAAACTTAAATTTCAGATATTTAAACCTAAGTAAGATAGGAGGAGTAAGACATTCAGCCTGTAAAGAAACAGTAGGAGTTGTTCTCATAGAGCCGGTAATAAGTCTCAAATTCTTATTTTGTATAATATCTAATTTGTTTACTAGTTTTTTATTTGATGCAAAACAAAGGAAGCCATACTCAAAATGGCTCCTCACTAAAGACTTATATAACATTAATAATATTTCTGGATCAGCTCCCCAGTTAGTACTAGCCAAAGCTTTTAATACATTAAAGGCCTTAGAAGCTCTGTCTGAAATAGAATTCACGTATTTGGTCCAAGATAAATTATTTGTAAAAATTACTCCTAAAAATTTTACACAACTTTCTATTGGTAAAAATGTATTATTATAAATTATTCTAGTGTTAAATGGAGGAATTTTATTAAATATTACAACTTTACATTTCTCAGTACTAATATCTAAATTTAAGTGTGAAAAGTAAATGTGCAATTTCTTTAAAGCCTCATTTATAATGGTTACCAAGTTTTTGACATTTGTTCCTGAGGCATATATGACCAAATCACCTGCATATTGTAAATTAGTAACATTTGATCCTAAAATATTATTTAATTTAAATATGTATAAAATAAACACAGGAGGACTTAATATTCCTCCTTGACAAACACCTTTATAACTGAGCCTAGGACCAATAATTGTATTATTATTAACTTTAGCAAAAACTCTTCTTTCATGTAAAAAGTTAAATATCCATTTTACAATTTTTTTCAAGAACGCCCAAAGACCTCAACTCTGCGGCGAGTACATGAAGATTAACGTTATTAAATGCACCAACAATGTCAAAGCATATACTAATTAAAATTTCATTATTTTCCATAGCTTTAAAGATGTCTAAATGAAGAAATGCAATACTTTCTCTAGATGACTTACGACGTCTGAATCCAAATTGATTTGATGGTAAAAGACAATTTTTTTCTAGATAAAATTCTAATCTAGATTTTATAAGTTGCTCAAATATTTTACCCACACAAGATGTAAGTGCTATAGGTCTGTAAGATTCTGCAATGTGAGGTTTTTTTCTAGGCTCTAAAATGGGTATCAAACAATCTTGTTTCTAATCGTTAGGAATAAGTGAATGAAACCTTAACATATTATATATTTTCAAAACTAGTTTTAAAGCTTTATATGGAACAGAATCTAAGCCACAAGTAGTGTCCTTTCTAGAGTTAACAGCTGAATTGAATTCCGTCAAGGTAAAAGGTTTGGTATGATAATCACATTGATTATCATTTGAGGAGTGAGGAGTTAGAGGTGATTCATCTGTTTCTGGAGTATATTTTTTCAAAAATTCATTATTCCAATTAGAATCTATGACTGATGTGTTATTATGAACAATCAAGTAGATCTATTTTTACAATAGTATTTACCAGCTAAGCTGTCTTTCAGTCTTCAAAGTAACTTCAATTACAGTCATTTTTAACTTAGTCATTATTAGTTACCATCATTATAACTTTTAATTAAAGTAGCTGACTGAAATTTTGTAGATTATTATTTATTTTATATTAATACTAGCAGCGCACCGCGGTTGCACTCGCATAGTTCCCGTTTCCGAGGGGAAAACCAGGATATAAACTGTCTGTGTGCTAAATTTCATTCAAATTCGTTCAGTAGTTTTTAGCGTGACACGCAAACATCCTAACATATAAACATCCAAACTTTCAGATTTATATTTTTAGTAGGATTTGTATTATTATTAGTAGGATATTTTTGTATTGAGGTCTGGTCTGCTTAAATTAATCGACAAAGTAACTCACTACCTACTACTCACTCTAGATCGACTTATTTAAACTTTGTTTTGAAATGTATTCAATTTATTACATCTACTTATTTGTTTAAACAAATAACCTTTTCCGGTAAATATCCGGTAAAATAAAAAAAACCTGTATAATCCGGTAAATTGATTATGACGCAGCACTAGTAAACACGTAAAGATGGCTTATATTGGTTACACCTAGGTAAGAGCAAGACGCATAGACAAGCGTCCAGGTGTTTCATTCTAAATGGCCAGTTTAACTTGAGCCGTATTAAATGGATGTAAATTGAAACAAAATCAAAGTTACCGATACTTACCGATGAAACGTGATTCCGTCTGTTTTATAATTCGATGTGTTGCTGTTTTTTCCACACCACCACCAAACTTTCAATATTTTTGGGAGTATCGGGGGACGTACACACAGATCACTTGTTGGTGAGGTACTGTTTTAGGGCGAGCGTGAATTGCTATTTATCAGTGACAAATCACTGATCAGTTTCGGAATTGGATGGCTCACATTACTACTCTATTCCGATTAAATGCTCGATGTTGCAAATATAGATGACAACAATCTTGTAATCTTGAATGATGGTCAGATGACTACAATAGGATCTCATAGATGGTGGCAGAATGCATTAGACTTGACACTTGTTTCATCTTAACTGGCTCTGTCTTGTGAGTGGCAAGTATGTGATGATGATTCTCTAGGCAGTATCATTTTCCTGTAAAGACAAAAATTACGGTCAATAATCAAAATTTTCAAGAAACAGCTTTATCAAATAACATAAACTTAAAAATTGTAGTGTTTATGCCCAAAATTGGTAATTTTGAACGCCATCCAATCGCGTTTGAGCAGGCGCGTCACCCGATGGTAGGTAGGTGAGGTAAACGCCGCCTGGTAGGGCGGCCGTCTGCGGCTTGCAGTGGCTCAGGGGGGCCGAAGAGAAAGTAGCTCCCTTGCCGCGATGCGGTGAATCCGCGTATATCAGTTATCGCGGCAGAAGTTCACGCGACCGATGTAGGGTCCAGATAGTTAGATTTAGTGCATGTTACTTCGCTACGTGGATATGTGAATTTTGCAATATTGAACTTGCTCGGGTGATGCGGACAAAATCTACACAGGGACGTCTATAATTTAAACAGAATTTGTAAATTAAGCATAATAGAAACTGAAATAGCCGGCGAGTCTTTTAAAAAAGTATAATTTTTGACATTTTTTGTAATTTGTTTTTTTTTTAATGGTTTCCTAAGGATCCGAATCTTAAAGAACAATGGATAGATTGTGCAAAAAGGGAAAACTGGTGTCCAAGTAATTATAGTGTTATTTGCTCCAGACATTTTACAGAAGACTAAGATTTTTTGTTTTTATACATCAAAAAGTCGCCGCCGATTGTTTGATACCGCAATTTCTACACTACTAATTTGCC